AAAAAATTCTAAAATTCATGTGGTATCACAGAAGACCCCAAATAGCCAAAGCTGTCCTGAGAAAAAAGAACTTAGATGGAAATATTACACTGCCAACTTCAAATTATACTACAATGCTACAGCCAACACCATATAGTACTGGTATAAAAAGAGATGCATAGACCAATGGAACAGAACAGAGAACCCAGAAATAAATTCACGAATTTAGAGCCAACTAATTTTTGACAGAGGTGCAAAGACCATTCAGTTAGAAAAAAACAGTCTCTTCAATAAATGGTGCTGAAAAAAACTGGGTCTTCATATTTAGAAGAATGAAACTAGACCCCTATCTCTCACCCTATTCAAAAATAAAATCAAGACAGATGTGTTAGTTAGGGTTCTCTAGAGGGACAGAGCTAATAGGATAGATGTAGGAACCCCACTCCTGGTACCAAAATCTGTATTAGTCAGGGTTCTCTAGAGGGACCAAACTAATAGGATAGATGTATGGATCCCACTCCTGGTGCCAAAATCTGTATTAGTCAGTTCTCTTTAGAGGGACAGAACTAGTAGGATAGATGTATCTATAAAGGGGGGTTTATTAAGGAATATTGACTCACATGATCTCAAGGTGAGGTCCCACAGTAGGCCATCTGCAAGCTGAGGAGCAAGGAAACCAGTCTGAGTCCCAAAGCCGAAGAACTTGTATTTTGATGTTCAAGGGCAAAAAGCATCCAGTGAGGGAGAAAGATGTAGGCTGGGAGGCTAAGCCAGTCTAGTCTCTTCATGTTTTTCTGCCTGCCTTTATTCTGTCTGTGCTGGCAGCTGATTAGATTGTGCCCACCCAGATTGAGAGTGGGTCTGCCTTTCCCAGTCCACTGACTCAAATGTTAATCTCCTGTGACAACACCGTCACAGACACACCCAGGAACAATACCTTGCATCCTTCAATCCAAGCAAGTTGACACTCAAAATTAACCATCACAGTAGATTAAAGACTTAAGTGCAAGACATGACACTTCGAACTAGTAGAAGAAAATATTTGGAAGACACTTCAGGACATTGGTCTGGGCAAGGATTTTTTGGGTAAGACCTCAAAAGCACAGACAACAAAAGCAAATAGACTAATGGGGTCACATGAAACCAAAAAGCTTGTGCACAGCAAAGAAACAAATCAATAAAGTGAAGAGATAACCTACAGAATGAGAAAAAATATTTGCAAATTATCCATCTGACAAGGGATTAGTAATTAGAATACATAGGGAACTTAATAGCAAAAAAAAAAAAAAAAAAATTACCTCAAAATAATCCTTTTAAAAAATAGGCAAACTATCTGAA